CCATAGACGCCAAATGAAACTGGAAACTGTTACATGTGCTCTGACAGAGCCCTCCCCCACATATTTCCAAACTTCTTTGCCCTGGCCATGCAAAAAGTGGGTCCCTGTAGAGAGTTCAGTGAATTTAAGGGTGGTATTGTTATAGGATGCTACTGCGCAAACTAGTCAGTTCAGGAAATTTCTCCTAGATAGTCCGCAATCAATTGTAAGGGGTATTACTGCAAAGTAGGAGTGTGCAGGTACCACAGCAACTAAGCCACGAACTGGCAACCAACAAAGTTGTAGAGAGGGATTAACCAGCACCGAGGCTTATAATGGATAAAAATCATTAGCGCTCAGCTGACTCGATGACTACAGAGTTACAAACACGAACATCAGGACAAAAACTCTAAGGAAGCCTTATGGCATGCATTTCCATGTCTAAGCAGCTTCTATAGAAGCCTTGTACTTCTGTCCATACAGTGCATTTCATTCATTACCTAAACCAACTCAAAATGATTGCTGTCGCCAGTCACAATGAAAGTAATATCCCCAAGAAATAAGAAAAAAAATCCATTAAAGACCAAACACAAGACTTCATTCCATTACAATATACCTGTAAAGGTTCTCAGTCATCCAGGTCGTGGTAATCCAAGAAGCTTGGAAAAAACTGACGGGACTTCTATACATTTCTTGAAGATGTTTCACTTCGCTTAAAAAATTAAAGAAAGTCAGTCGCTTTTCTTTCCAAGCTCCTTAGATAACACACCTGCCCCCAAAGCAGGTGTGTTACTTAGAGGTATGTGGGTGTGGCAAATGAAGTAGCCCATGCACACCTTAACTGCTATCTGCCCCTTAGACATGAAGAATCATTAGACATCAAGAGGTGTAGACCTCCTGACCACAGTCAGTTGCTCATGTCACAGCTAGTTTTCATACAGTCATCAGAATTAGAATCAGAAACACTTTTATACATTTGTATTTGCCATGCTGTCGTGGTGCAAAAAGCAAAAACCCCACTGTGGTACAGAAATAGGACATATGGCATTTACCGTATATAGTGCAAAATATAGGTAGGGCATAATGTTCAACGTGCTTTTACTGAATTCAGTGTGCAAAATGTTGGTAGCCTGAGTAAATAAGTGTGTTACTGTAACACTTTAATGAAGTAGTGATCAGGGTGAGGGTGCATTGTTAGTAGTCCCACAGCGTGGGCAAAGAAACTCCTGTCATGCTGTGAGGTGTTGCTTCTGATGGGCAGCTTTCCACCAGAGGGGAGTGTCACAAACAGTTCATGACCAGGGTGTGAGGGGTCGGCAGCAATCCTCCTTGCACTTCTTAGTGTGTTGGTGGTGTACAGGTCGTGTAGGCAGGGCAGGTTGCACCCAATCACCTTCTCAGCAGAGCAGATGACGTGCTGCCGTCTGCCTTCGTCCTTGGTAGAGGCAACAGCAGATAGATTCACTGATGGAGAAGTAAAACTGCACCATTAATGACTTCGGCAGTTTTTGTTCATTTTTGCCAGCTGGTGCAGGAAGTACATTCTCTGCTTTGATGTCCCTCTGCTGGGATGTGATAGTTCCCAGGAATTAGAAGCACTTCCTGGGCTAGTAGTTGTTTTACTGCCCGCCCATTTCCAGAGAAACAGAGTCACGCGCTGAAAACTGCTGTTGTAGCAGTTGAATACTATGGCCTTGGATATGGATTGTAGCAAAGTGTCTCAACACTTAACGCTCCAATGTGTAACGGACGCAACCACCTAATGAATAGGAGTGGGGAAAAATGGATACTGTGTAGCATGGTGACATTTTGTTTCTAATAATGTATGGATACAGGGACAGCAGAAATCGATATTTTGTTACAAAAAGGTTTTTGTGCTCTGACTTCAGAGCATGTTGATCCTTTTTCTGAGCAAGAATCCTGACATTCCTTCACTGTCCAAATGTGTTTAACTTGTTTTTGGCAGCAATAAACATGACAGTTTACTTATTTTAATTTAAGACATGTTTTATTTTAATTAAGTTTAAAACTTTTTATTTAATGTAAAATTATATTTTGTTTTAATTTACTTTCAAATTCTTCAGTTGCTGAAGGGGCTGCATAGTTTTCATAAACTGCATAGTTCAGAATAGCTATAATTGTACCAGATGGTTGATTCAGTTAAGTTGGACTAGACTGTAATACAAACCGTTCAGTTTGTCAACAATCAAACTGAAATGAGAGAAAGACTGAGTGTGAGACTTTGATATTAGAGAAAATGAATATTGATAAAGTTTACCTTTATGTACAGAATCTGAATATCGCAAAATATTTTTAAAAATTGCAATAATATCGTATCGTGAGTTAAGTATTGTGATAATATCGTATCGTGGGATGTATGGTGATTCCCACCTCTAATAATGAAGCTAACTGAACCACGTCCACAAAAGGCAGAGAAGCGATCCTGAGGCCACCAAAGTGGAAGCCATTCACTACTTGACTCAGCATGTAATTCATTTAATATACTGCTTAGAGATGGTGGTGACCAATGACTGCAGAAAACAGTCATTGGTGGTGACGCTCAAAGTGGAATGGCTACATTCTTATCAGTCCCTAATGTGTATATACAAATACTCGTATTTGATTTTTTTACTCCATAAAGAATTGTCAGTACTTTACAATAACAGTCAATTTTAATTTATAATTGCATTCATAAATTATTTATTATAAGTTATATATATTTGTAATTGAGGCACATACTTACCAGCGTACCACTGTAACACTAGATCCAAACTTGCATAAGAGATTTTATATTTATGGTTATAGCCGACACAGCATGTAGTGATACTTACCCCATCAATGCGGGGTGTCCCAGCACTGCACACCACACAGCACGCTTGTTGGATCAGCTCCCTGGCAACGTCCTCCTCTCCATCTTCATATGCTGCCTGGATGTTTTGAAAAGTGGGCTGAGTAGACAGTGTAGAACAGGGCCCAGTATCCTCCACCAATGACACCTTTGCTCCCACATCCTCCCCAGGGCCTGTCAGGAAACAGGACAGTCAAAAAATGAACAGAGAAAAAATAAAGTGCATTTGTAACTAGGATCTGGATTTTACAGTTAAACACTGTAACCCTGTTATTAGCATGCACCCAGAACTGGCTCATCTTATTTAAAGAATACGCTCATGGTACGAGCTAAAGCACAACTTACTGGATTAACGCAGTTTGAGAAGATTGTCTCTGATGGCAGATGTTAAGAAGTACTTGTTACTGTACTTCTATACATCATTAAAAAAACATTACTATTTAAAAATGGGGAAAAAACCCAAACACTAATATTCTTGTATCAATGTCAACATTCAAGATTCAACTCAGGTCTTTATTATTTAAAGAAAAAAAATGCATGCTGTTAATTATGTAGTTGCACAGGGAACTCAAATGCCTGTGCAGGCTCTCATCCAGGTCGTGGTAACCCGAGGAGCCTGGGAAGAAAAGCAACCAGACTTCTTCCTGTTCTTTAAGTTTCTTGAAGACATTGAAAAGCTTCTTCTGTTTTAAGACCAAATGGTGGACCGTCCGAGGTATTTCCAGGCACCTTAACATCCACTCACATCTTGCGTCAGTTGATCTCAATGGGTCACATGATAGGGTGAGGCAATTGTTTCACCTGAAACTTCTGCTAATAATGACCCACATGCTTTTCACACCTTATAAGAAAGAAACTGAGATTATTGTACTCGGCCTAAAAACGTACAACTATGGTATCTAACCAGATACTTACTCTGGGTGGCATAAACTTGGCCTCCAACACTGTCAGGAATCTTTGAATTGGTTTTGACCAGGATGTGTCCTTCAATGTGTATTTTAAAAAAATATTTAATACTACTTTTTTCCACTTGCGCATTTGCATGCCAAGTATCATTGGCCAAGATACAAACCGCAAGTCTGATGCATCCATAGAGAAACCATTACAAATGCATATTATATGATCTACAAGTGTAAACAAATTTGTACAGTGAGTTAGTCTAAGGAGCTTGGAAAGAAAAGTTTCTGGACTTCTTTAAGTTTCTTGAAGGCGTTTCATCTCTCATCCCAGAAGCTTCTTCAGACCAAATGGTGGAGACTCCCAAATTTAAGGCTTTTTAGGAGTGTTCCTAAGAGGGTCCTGGACCCCCAATTGATCCTCTGCCTAATCACACGAACCAAAGTGTGAAAATGGGTGTGGGTCACAATCACCCAAGGTTTCAGGTGAACCCATTGTGAGACCTTGCCCCAGCCTATCATCTGACTTACTGATCAAATGACCCAAGATGTGAGTGGGCATTAAGTCGTTGTGTGTTGTGCCATGTGTTCATGAAGTGGCTGTTTGGTCGGAGCATTCCTCGCTGCACTGTACAGCATACACCATGTTGTTAACTTTGTTTTTGGGAGTTTTTTTCTTTCAGATGAACCAATTTTTATCTCAGTGTGTGGCTGAGTCTTAAGTACACTGGGATGTTGTGCTTGGAAAAGAGTTTCTCTAACAAACCTGGTACATAAGGGATGACAATATTGTTCTGCTTGTCTTAACGTAGCCAAAAACTGGAACTGAAAACAAAACTTAAAAGGGAAAAAGAGAATTTTATTTATAACTTTAATGAGCCTGTAGCATTTCACAGTTCTCTACTTGACAACATTTGGGCCAAAAAATGAAGCTTGCATAGAAGTGCCAAAAGCCACAGTTCAAGGTATAGTCGCCTGAGGCTGGGTCCAAAAACAAGCCAGATTCCCATGTAAGTGCCCACCGAACAGCAATTAAAAGTTATGATTACAGTTTCTAAGCTGTAAAAAAGAAGAAAAAAATGGCAACCATCAGAGCTGCCCCCTATTAGATTTCAAAGTCCCATGTCGCTGTGTTATCAAATTATTCAATTCACAAGATTTTCAGGAAACTTGACCTCTGACCATGAGGTCGAGGTCACTTAGATTCGAGCTCATCCAAGATTTTTTTAATTCGATTCACCTATGGTGTCAATTTACTGTTTCCTTGTACTCTGGTTATCGCATTCACAAACACAGACATCTATACCACCCGCTTGCTCCGTGAGCTGATGACAATACCATCTGCATCTACAGCTGAGGGGGAAAATTTATAGTCAAAAAGCCGTTTTGGACGATAGCTTCCATAATCAAGACAAGTTCCCAGAGCTCAAGAGCCCAAAGAGGATCACTGCAGAGGCAATCGCACCACCCACCAAGAGAAGAGCTGAGGAGAGCCCCAGGAGGGGGTCACCCAGGCCCCAGGCCTCACCAAACAGCTGCTGGGAGGGAGCCAATACACACCCGGGCACCCAGACACTGAGAACCACCAATGCACCAGTGGGCATCAACCAGGGAGTGTTATTGGGTGGGGGATTTTTAGTGCAACTGGGAAACTGGGCTGTAATGAAGGTGTGATGTGCTTCACTAAAAATGCTACCATATAAGAACAATTTAGAGCCATTAACCACCTCAACAGCAGTGTTACTCTACAAAAGACTTTTCTTCATGCAGTCTATTACTCAATTACTTGCTGGAGAAAGTAATTTGTTACACCACTCTCTCGTTACTCTGTAAAATCAACTAAAACGCATCGTCACATATTTACCAGCCTATAAAACAAACACAAACCTCTATCCCAGTAAGGACAGATATGCAATCTCTCTTTCAGTTTTTTTTACACACATATGAACACAGAACCTATAAAACACAAAGCAAGCATGCATATCAGCCCAAAGATCCTTTAAAGCGATCGCCACAGTGATTCTACTGTAGAACCATGAACAAGTAGAAATAGGCTTTAACCCTGGCTGCTCCTCACTGCTTTTGTTACCTGTTGAAGATCAGGCTCTGGCTGATGAATGTTTTCTTTTTTGTGAGTAGGAGAAGCCCACTACTGTGATCAATGAACTTCCTCAGGGATTAATAAAGTTTGTTTAATCATTTTTTTTCTGCGTGCCCGGCACACATGTAGCTGAAGAAGCTTTGTAACTGTAATGTGCAGGACTGTGTTACATTATTGGGTGAGATTTCTTTGTGATAAGGAAAACCTGCCCAGATTGATGGGTTCCTAACTTATATATTATTATGTCTGTGAAGGTTCTCAGTCATCC